GAATATATACCGTTTGTTCCAGGTTACTTTGAAAAAGGTAGAATAGCAAATAGAAATGAAGCAGGAATGTGATATTTTTCCCACTTGTGATATTTTCGGCTCTTTTTTATACATGAGTCAGTACTGTCTTTATCGCCCAGCAATTAGATCATTTTTCAGTCTACCTAATCTTCCCACTCCTGAATTTACCTCAAAGCTATTTTTGGCGAAAAATATAGTAATCAACAAAATATAGGGATTTAATATAGTGTCAGCAATTAATTTTAAGGCAAACAGTGTGCTAATTGATTATGTGAAGAATCCGCGAGACACTGCTCATATAGACCATGAAGGTGAAGTTACAGATGCAGAAAATTTTTGCGAAAATATTGTCGGCGGCTCTATGTTGCAGATTAGAGATCAGTTTTTGCTCTCATTCTACAGCGGTAAGATGAAACTGTAAAAGTAATGAGGAGAATTTGAAATTTAAACACAAAAGAGATCTATTTCCTTCACTACAATTTCTCTGCTGGTTATAAAGTTTTGTTATTTAGAAGCACTGTTGAAAGAACGGAAAAGAAGAAGCATCATGCTTGACAGGCGCTTATTAAAACGAAAGATATTGCCAAAAGCTTATATCACCAACAAATGTTTATATCTTGAGTACAACGAATTAAGTGACTCAGGTTGAGTTCAGTAAAATGTTTATTTTTAGCTCTAAAAAATTAAATGTCACGCCTCTATGATAACACCGAATGTCTGTTATATTGTTAATGAAATAACTCAGCAACTTTCACTTTCGTCAACGATTGCTTGCTACTGATTTCGATACGATTCAGAAAAGTTGGTTATAAGCAGCTGTAACATGCAGAGTTCGTTCTACTGTGTGAAACAAATTGAGCATCAGCAACCAACCACTCAGGTCCATTTTTTTGTTTGATAATACAATTATGATTTCTTTCTCCTCGGCGTTCCTCTGCTTCATTTCGAATCACTCCAAAGGAAATATTTTTTCTCTGCAAACTTTATATTTATTTCTTTGGTTTACAAATATGGGCAAATCACCTAGTGTTAAACAGGAATTGTACATTTTTTTTCTCCAGTATTCAGATGTTTGGCCCGTATTAAGTGAAGCCTTTCGGTGTCCCTCCTTTGCGTAACACTATCTCAATGGCTGTATAGTATAATGCGCAAATACCAATACCACTTTTCGAATGTGACTTCCGGCATTTAAGTAAACCAAACTTCTAACAATTTGCTTCGTAAAACTGGAAGGATGGAAATCTTGAAATATTGAATTTATAAATGCAGAATTGAATCTGCAACAAACACATGCTACAATATTACACTGAAATCAAAAGGCTTAGGGAGTTACCATCTCAGCCCTCCACTAGAAGCGTCTTGAAATTTCTAGATAGTCATACCATGCTGCACATTCATTGCTTGTGCCTGTGGATTAAAATGCTTAGCAAAAAAATTGATTTTTGTCGATAACCTGTTTTCAGTTCTCATATACTTACAAAAATGTTTGTTGGACGTAAGGAGTCTAATGGTTTTGAGTCAAACATCAAATCTACATGCATTTTGAATCATTTCTAAACAGGATTTTACCTGATCTTTACTCAGCAGTTCGTGGTCGATTCCATTAAAAACTAACTTTTTTAGCAGAAGGAACACAACCCAAAGTCCTGCTGCAGAATTTTTTTAAATTAGTTATGGGCCGCTGCTGGAAGTTATGGGCTAATTACTTCTAAATGGGGCTGTTCAGCAGGGCAAACCGAATACTGTAGGAGTAACAAAAGATAAAGCAGGAGCAACAGTACTTTGCAGATATAAAGTCCAGCGGACCTACATTCCATTTTGCAGTAGCCCGCACGGCAACGCAAGTTTATTAATTAGAGAAAAGAAGATGGGCACATAGTGCGATTCAAAATCAGATTTTTTAAGCGAGGAAAAAGTGCATTCCGAAAAACAGTAGATTGAGCAGTGAGGAGTTAAGGGTAGCTACATTCGATGAAAGTGAAGGTAAGCTGTGAAGAAAAAAAACATTTTAAGGTGGTATCGCTACGGTGCAGTAGATTCTGATTAGTGATAGATTTTGAATTTGCTCTTGACAAAGTTTAGTCGAAAAGAAGAAAGAAACAATTTTATTTTTCAAGTTCTTAATCCATTTCTACAGATAGTCTCCTCTGAAACGTAAGAGAAATCTCATGATTTTCTTGCGAAGTAAAATTTTTTATTCTTCGTAGATGGTAAACAGTTTGCTTTCTCACCTAGAATCAACTTATAGAAGCTGTAATAACTATTTTTTCATTTAGGTTTTGGTAAAGGAAAAGGAGAACAACTACAGTTAGTTTTTTTTCAAAATTTAGGAGCAGACTTAGTTATTTTAATCGTTGAATAGTTTTAAGTACGAAGCAGTCAGAATTGGTCACTAAAACTTGCAGTGCTGCTCCTGTGACACAGCCAGTGGGGTGATTCATAAATTTTGCTTATTTCAATTAGTCTTTTTTGACTCTATCTTTAGTTTCGGTGAGCAGTTATAAGTCTGCAGTTTTTGTTGTATATAAAAAAAATTTGTTATTAACTTTTGGTTTCCTAAATGAGCATTTTTCAAGCCTTTTTGCCTTACCTTTTCTATAGCCTTACCTTATCTTTTTTTTTCCTTCATATTGCGTTAAAGGAAGTGCTTTTTGTAGTGGTTCCAGCGAAACATGAGGCTCTCACCTAGCTATCCCACTGGTTACTCGCTCTTAAAGTCCAGTCATTGTTTGTGACAAACATATTATTTTATTTTTTCAACTATTATTTGTCATCGAAGAAACTTATTTTTGGTTATGAAAAGTCGATCAAGAGTTTCTGCAGCAGTTACTGAGAGAGCATTTTGCTTTTTATTAGCACTTTTTTCATGATTTATTCATTGGCACTCATTGTATTAAATATCAATCATTCATCCTTTCAGCAATAAAAGGTATTTGCAAAAAAAAACGAGGTCTCATCTATTTCCATGAGCCATTATTAGTATCAGTTAATGGTGACGAAGAAAACTACTGTCTGCATGATCTTTACGTATCAATTTTGCCGTTATTTTCATTTCACAGTTTTCTGCTGCAAAAATTACAAATTGGTCTCCTTCGCTGTATTTCTCCAAAGCCTACAACCAAATCTCTATCAACTTTTTTTACATTCCTAGCCAACTAACTAATTTTCTAAGTGACGCTATGCAAGTTTGGATAGTTTATATTTCTGCATAACTAATTTAATTTTAAAAAGCTACTATGTTTGCAAATCCTCAGCCGTCATAAGTTTACAAAGTTTTCTAGCTACAGACACTTAATTTTCAATCATTTAACTTTGTCATTATCCAGCTTATTGTTTTTTAGATTCAAAATTCTTTTATTAAATCTTTATCTGGTGCGAGACTTTACTGCCACTACCATTTTCAAGCCGATGTTTTATTTATCTTGGACTTCAGAGAGCATCGGTTAGTGCAGAGTAGGTGTACCATTTACGCTGTTTCAGCGTTACGTATGGATTATAATTGAAAACAGTTATTTGCAGTTACTACTAATAAAACAGTGTTTTAATTGCAGCCTACCTATTCGACCCCTTTGGTATTGGAATGCCAAAGCTGTTCGATATGAGGCCATTGCAAATCCCACCAATGGAAAAAAAGGAACAAATTATACAGAGTCTAAGGTATATGCAAGAACAAGAAAAAAATAACAGGTATTATTACGGCTTAACTGGTGACTGCTACGCACTCGTTCGTGAATACAGAACCAGACTGGGTATAACTTTTTTAGTTGTTTTCAACTGATAACACATCTTCTTAAACCTCCGTTACGCTTGATAAGTGGCGTATTTATAGATTCAATAGTCAAAATTAATTGTAAGCGTGCTTGGCAATACGTGACATGCAAAGAGACAATTCCCGAAGAAAGCTACAAGAGACCGGACAGTTCATTACCGATTCCAAGAAGAAATGCAACGATAGAAGTACGTTCCAACAATATTTGTAATATCATCAAAGTTTGAAGTGGCTCGCTAACTTATGAAGTACTTTAAATCCACTAATCTGGAGTAGTTTTTCAATTCATTTTAGCTTCTACTTCTCCTTATACATAATGGCTTAAAGCTGGCATTTTATACAGAAATCAGTTTCTTGAAAAGTAATCACGCGCATTCAGCATCAAATACTGCAAAACGACGTGGTTTTACATGCGCGAGAATCGTTGATCAATCAGACCTTTTGCTAATGAATCTAAACATTTGAGCAAAAATTAACTTGTAGTTAAGAAAAAACGTAAATAAAAATTACCCTCTCATTTTCCGTAAGTTGACATCTACCTTAATAGCAGAAAAGATCAGAATTTGGCAGACTTCTACTGCAGCTCAAAACTTAAATTACAGATAAGTTACAGATACCTAAACGTTGCTGCTCCAAAAACTGCTCTGCGCCAAAATTTACCGCTAAGTAAAAATTTCTTCTAAATCAGTTGGAGAATTAATTAAGTCAGTCAGGATCTGGCATAATCCAATAATAAATTCCTCCTCAAAGAAGAAGCGGTAAGAAGGTAAAAATTTAAAAAACACTAGCCCAAACCGTAACTGGCGAGACAGCTCTGAAAACATCCCAGTTGTTTCTTCGCTTATTTGTTCTCTACTTCACAAATTAACATCTTGACCATTGTACCTTCGCACAAAAAAGATCTAGAGATTTATTACTCTCAGCAGTGAGATAAGATCGGCTGAATAAGTAGCACGTAAAAGTGGATATCGTTTCAGCAGTATCATTCCCATTTTTGGGATACGAATTGCAAAAAACTTGCCGAAGAAACCGCTCATTCATTATATACATACTGTTAGTTTTTTGACTTAAAAAATGAAGCTTTGTTTCGAGAAAAATCTATACGAAAAAAACATCGTCTTTATACTTCCCTTGAAGGCTGTTCACTAGATGAAATTTTTAGGGATAACAGATCTCATCATAGGACTGCTTTTTCTCATTATATTAACTGGTTTCGCGGTAATCAACCTATTAGAGAGTAACGACCTTATCAAATCTCTGGTTATAATGCAATCATATGCCAAAAATGGACATAAACGGCAGAGCTCGGAGACCTGACATACTCCTGATAACACAGTGGAAGATGAACTGCTTTTTAGTTTCCAACTAATTTTTACGATTCCCTTGAGCTGATTATTCCCATTATAGGATTTCAATGCTTGAGTCAGAATAGGAGAACCAGAAGCAGTTACGAAACCCCCGGTTGTGACATATCTTCAGCAACGAGTTTTGCGACTGCATAAAATTCCGAAAACATGCTCTTCTTCTCTGCTTTGCCGTCTAAAAAGTTACCAATTTGGGCAAGAGCATGAAAGGAAGGCTCAAAAAATAAATTCTCAACGGCCAAAGAAGATAACCATAATGCCAAAACCACATTCCCAATTTCGGACTACAGTGGTTCAAAACAATCCTGAAGTTTGGAGTCCAAAAATACCTGACCCGCTCTCCAAGTACCTGTCCGTGCTGAATTTTTTGTATCACAGACTTTTCGCCACACTACCTCAGGCAACTAGACTTCCTGCCTTCCGTTTACTATTGTACCTGTTAATAGTGTTTTTCACTTTCTCATGTGCTTCAAATTCTATGCGTACTATTTTTTGACTGCACACTTACACAGCCTGTTGATTCTTAAAACTTCTCCACTGTATTCACTAATAAACAATTTTTGAAACCAATATGCCAAATTAAAAATTCATTAGTTTATCTACATTTCACACAAGTGGTTACTTCTGATGCCACCATTGTCTCCTAAATGAAACGATTCTTGTTTTAGACGTATGAGGTTACCCCTTTTGGTTACTGGTTCACGCTTCCCTTTTAAGAAATCTACGTCACCACTTTGAACTCTCAACGCATTGGTCAAAAAAATACGTAACTACATTCGATGAAGTGCTGAAAGGTCAGTGGACAGTAAAGGGTGAAAATTTTTTCAAGAACTGTTTATGAGCCAGACTTATCAGAAGATTTTTAACCTGGAAGTAGCAATGACTGATTGTTCTGTTTAAGATGTAACCTTACTACCCAATATGAGGAGAGGAACAAAAGCAGATAAGCACTAAATACTTCTAATAGTTGAAAATTTATTGAAATTTTATTTGTAATTGTAAAACCTTCCAAGAACAGAGTAAGAGGTTTACTTAAAATACTCTTTTTTAACCTTATTTTCTTTTCCACTAAACCGAGAACTTTAACAACAAATATGTTTCACCCAAAAGCTTCTTTTAAACCTTATGCAACAGCTGTTTCTTGAAACACCCCTCAAAAGACTAGTTATCAAAGATACTAATTGAGTCCGAGGTAAAAACGAAAATAGATAATACACCTTAGCACTCGTGATCGACTTATTGACGACAAATAAGCTTTTTGTCCTTATTTGAGAACAAAAATCGGCCAAAGCATTACAAAAGAAGAAACTAGAGCAGTTTCTTGAAACCTATGAGACTTTTGGAATGTTACAATAATATGAAAACTATAAAGACTGCATAGAAATCTTCATCCAAAAATCACCCTTCAGCGTCGTATTCAATACTTTTCAGTTTCGAGCGAAATTCCTGACCAAGTTCTTCTGTAGATGCACATAAAACACATCGCTTCATAATGTTGAAAGGAGCGCCTACAAACGCGACACTTGAAGATCATTGAAAAGCGTCGACTCAGTTTAAATTATTCTTTAGAATGACCAAGACAATGAAGACGTACACAGAAACTGCTCTACCAAATCATCAAAAGCTCCAGTTAATTCCTACAAAAAGTAGCAAGTTGCTCACCAGTAGGGTCGATAATGAAGCCACCAGCTTCTTTTAGAATAACGCTTGCTGCAGCAACATCCCAGGCGTGCACGCCAAATTCAACATATGCATCAACAATCCCACTAGCAACACTTGTCATATTCAAAGCCGCTGAGCCAAAGGAGCGGTGTCTAAATTCGCATAGTTAATAGCTACTTCAAATCCAAAAGCAGAGTAATCTTCAAGGGGGAAAGTACCAAGCACTATAACAAATTTTATATTTCAGTACCTTTTAAAAAATCTACGTTATTAGTTTCTTTACTACTAAACAGACATTTTAGAAAGATATATGACAAACCGGCATGCTAACAAATGAACTTTAACATTTCATCATCATATAAAAATCTAATACTAAAATCAGCTACCGATATTGTTGAAACGACGAGGTTGCAAAAATGAGAGATACAGAACTTCGTCGTCACAGTGAATATTGAAGAAGCAGGCCGTATGACATATCATGCTTATCTCATGTAACCAGGAAAAAACACGGGTTGGCTTACCAGAAAAAGAGGTGCAGATTATAACACAAGAATGCTCACTACTATAACAAATAACGAAACACAGTTCATGGCGTAATACATGTACCAGATAAGTAAGCTATCTACTGACCCATGTACATCCATCTCCACCATCGTTTCTTGGAAATTATTAATAAATGAAGAGACCAAGGACTTGCTGCGATCAGAACCCAACTGAAGAACTATTACTGCTTCATTTACTTCTAAACGAACAAAAGGGGAAAATAAAAAAGATCAATGTGAAAAAAACTTGCAATGAAAACCTGAATTAATAATAAAAAAGGATAAAACCTAGAATTAGAAGCAACTTTGTTGACATCAAATATCTAAAATAAAATTACAAACGAACTGTAAGCGCAACGACTACTGTACCTTTGATACAACAAAGCCTACAGTATTTAAAAGGTTGAAACTACGGCAAGAAAATATGATTGTTTAAGTAATAGGTTAAAACAATTACAAAGCGGAAAGCAATTTTTACTGCGAATGGAGTAAGTGAAAAAGAAAAGTTTAAAACGGTGATTAACAGGTATCAACAAACGGACAGGTGGACACATGACGATAAAAAACATCATTCAAAACATGCATAAATAACAGAGAGGAAATCATGCACAGACCTCCGATAGTTGAGGTCAAAAAAGCAAGCAGTTTTTTCCCTAATGCCATACAAAAAACCTCCTCGTGAAAACCGATACACACTCGTACATGAAGGCAGAATAAATACCCGCCCATTCATTTAACACACTCTAGAGTTCAATGTAACATCACAAATTAGTTATACTCATATGCTCAGTGAAAACAAGATCCAGAAATGATAATGAGTTACTGACAGCCGCAACTTACTTGCAAACAATACATACTTCCTCATTAAAATATAATTTCGCTTCTAAAAGGTATCGTAGAACAAACAGCCTCTTCCACTCCTACAATAAATTAGAAAAAAAACGAACCCGAGTATTCCTGCAAGACAAATGCGCCGATGATTCTCTAATACGATATCCAACCAGGATGGCCCAAAACTTGTTATATTATGAATGCCATGAGACATTGCAATCAACGATCGATTTAAAGCTGCAGATAAACACATGACTGAATGTCGAAAAGTTTTTTAAACGCTCCACTTCACTTTCCTACTCTAAATACTCATTCTACAACAGAGGCAAAACGGTCAGACGAAATTGCAGACGAAAAAGCAAATTACCTTAAAACCACTGTGTTTAGTACCTCGATGTTCAGAGAACTCAAAAAAATGATATCTTGCGGAAAACCGTCCGAAGTATATGTCACCTTCCAAAGAAAAATGTAAGAGGAAAAACAGATTTCATAAGATTAGATAAACGAGACTTACAGATAAGAATTATTTTTTGAAGAAGACCTACACCACTCGAGCAACACCACAGTATGAGATTCAGAAGCACATAAATCTCTCTACACGAAGTTCCAAATGAGATGGGAAACTTAGAAGCAAAAATTAATGGTCATTCGACGCTCTCAACTCTTTAAATGTCCAGGTTGCGACAATTCCTACCACATCATCCTTCACACCTCTAGTGCGGTACACTGTAGCCATATTACCATAAAAAGTATCACGTTTTTACCACTTGTAACACTCCCCGCTAAACACCAGAAATATATTTCGAAAACACCTTCAAGAAGGAAAGAACGACCTGCAGGACGCTCAAAACCGATAAGCACATCCCCTGGTCATGAAATCAGCTGTTTCCATTAAGTTATGCCGAACAATAGAGTAACCCTTATGCCTACCTTCTGAGTGAATAAAAATCCCTTTTCACTCATTTGCTGCCAAGAAATGTTGAGTCAAAATTAATAACTCAAACACAACTGCGATAAGGACAAAAGCACACATACAGAAATAAATCTACTTCATTTTCTCTACCACACCAAAACCTAACAATTTTACTAGTATGAAGAACTACAGCAAGATGGTAACTAAATTTAAAAACGACCTCCTACTGTTATAAAGGTGTCGCAGCAAAATGGCCTTTAAAATATATACAGTTCTTTACAGCGCACCCTACAGTAAAAATCAAGGCGTTTTTCTATCGAAAATATCTCTTCCAAAAACTAAAAAATAATACCCTACACCAGTTTAATAAAAAGACGTCCAATTAATCTTTTTACAAGTATGCTACAGAGATACGTAGTAAGGCAGCGTAAACGATACGGTGAGGAAGTCCTGACAAACCATGTGCAGGAGAAGGAAAACAATGAGCAATTTTCTCGACTAAAAGACAATAAAAACGAATTGAGAAGGCATGCAACCATGTAAAATAAGAACATATCCGACAGTAGTTCTTTTTATAGCCCACACAGAATGATATTTCAAAAGAAGAGCAATTTTCAGATGCACAAATATAATGACGACAAAACCTACCTTTCGTTGATGAAACATGGATTGGAAAGCCATTTAAGAATGCCCCTCGACCAGTTTGGGCAGAAAATAATTCTTTAGTAATAGGATTATACACGATACCTGCCCTCATCTGCTTTTTAATAGCCAGACCAACACAAATAGCCACCAAGGGAATCCTCAAAATGCAGCTTAAACTGAATTTTGGAAAATCACAAAACTCAAAGCCTATACAGTGCACAAAGAAAACTCCGTAAAATTCTTTTTCTCTCAAGAAAAAATCCTGTAAAGTGTAAATTTTTATACTTGTGCACAAAATTTGTCGTCCCATCAATGGGATCAATAATCCAAGTCGGAGCATCTGTGTACTCTATTTTTTGACCCCCGGCAACAGACTCTTCACCAATAAACCTGAAATGAGATCTACCACCAGCACAGTCTAGAAGATTAGCATGATAAAACAGCGTCGTATTCCCCTCTGAAACACAGGACCAGCACGAATCATAGAAAGCCATCTGAAACATACTTGTGATCAGGAAAAGCTTGCGAAAGACCATCAATCAAATGCCTTTCAACGGCTTTATCCGTCTCAGTAACAAGGTCCGTGTGGGAAGACTTTTGTTCTACCTTCATTGTTGGTTTCTCAAAGGCTGTTCGGACTAACTAAATGAATAATACCATTTCCAATAGAAATGAAAAAAGGAAATTTGTGCTCCTCTAAATACCTGCAATAGGACGCATGGCCTTCTGCCACAAATCTAAAGCAGAAGATACGGTCATGGTCTGCCACATTCTAAAGAAAATTTTCAAAATTTGCTTTAAGTCACATGAAGTAACACTGGCTGCCAAAGTAACACTTCAAGCCCGTAAATTTTAAAAAATATGCGCTCGTATATCAGTTTGAATATTCAAAAAGAAACGAAACAAAGTAGTTCCATTTCAAAACTAAAACTAAGCTCTAGGCCTTTTCCCAATAATTTATTTCACTGGTGAGTACTACGTGTAAAACTTTCATCAGAAACCTGATTAATCATCTAAGTCTAAAGTATTCTCCAACTTTGAGCCTTCTGTTTCAAAAGTAACTATAATAGTAAAGAAAATTAAAGGCAAAAGTAAAAATCTATGGTAAAACTGTGACTGCTGCACTCTATCTGCAGTACTACTGTTCGAACTGTAACACTCGAGAGTTTTAAATTCCAGCTAAAAACCTGTTTACCTGGTCACATTTTAATAATATTAGGAAGCTAGCAATCTTTTAAGCTGTAATGCCCAATAGGTTAAGTAAGCTTGAAAAATATACGTCAAAAGACTAACTTTGATAACTCTTATAATCACGAAAGCGCTAAACTAGGAAAAGAAGTATCGATCCCTGCTTTCTTCTGCTAAATAACCTTCTTAAACCTCCGATTCTTATTTGTGTTTGTGATAAAAACTTTGAAAAATAACGCTAAAGCACTTTTACATGTATATTCAGAAAAACCTCTTAGAAACAACTGTGAGCCAACCTGACCAGCCGATTTAACAATTCCGAGAGCAACTTTAAAAAATTCATCTTCCCGCGGGTGAATTTCTTGTGGATCGCTAGTTGTCAAGCTCATAGCTGAACTTTCGAAGAGCCGCTGCAAAAAGTGGTTGAATAGTTTAAGTTAAAAGGAACAACACCGAAAAAAACACTGGATCGCGGAAAATCGAGTAACAATAACGTGAAATATGAAAGTTTTGAAAGCCGTCCAATTCTAGAACCACTATCGTGGGGATGACAAAGTAACAAAAAAACACGTATTCCAAAAGCAATCGATCTGGCATAGGTTGACCCTACAGCTCAGTTGTAATGTGCAAACAAAAAAAAAAAAAAAAAAAAAAAAAAAA